CAAAAAATAAAAAGAAACACCTCATCCCTGCTAATGAAGACATTACCGCATCCGCTGTCAGTGATTTCACGGAAGGCCAATTATGGTACGAACTGGAGAAGGAGCTTCAGAAACAGGATAATGCGATGAACATTCATGCTCAAGAAGAAGAGGCTGCAGCAGCAAAAGAGATCACAGAAGAAGAGAATCAACTTGTTGATGCTGCTGAATGCAGTAGCAATTCAATCACAACATCAGACAACATGGACAGCCATAGGTTTTATCCCCCTGGTAGAATCATGCATATTGTTTCGGTACCTTCATCGGATGAGTCGAATTCAGGTTCTGATGACCCTGTAGAAGAACATGTCTGCTTGTATGAAACACCTAGAGAGCTGTACAGCAAGCTCAGACTATCAAAAACCATGATAAATGATCATTACATGCCAATGTATAAGAAGATGATGGAACTATTAATACGAGAACTTGAGAAAGATAGCAGCTGTGCTATTTTGAATTAACAGAAAACAATATAGCAATTGCAAAATTGTTAGTGAATACAGATTTCAGAGTTCTCATCATCTCTGCTGCCATCCTGTAGAAATTTTTGATGTATGAATTTGATTCTTTTAAGGTAGGTACATGTATAAAATGAGAAAGTAATGATGCATTTATTGTTGATTTATAAAGGTTGTTAACATTACATAGGCATTTTATTCCGAATCAATGGGAAGTGCGTTTTTTATTGTTATTTTAACACATTTACTCATGTTAAGAGGATTTAAATCTTAGTATAGTTGTGCTGTTCATGAATGGTTCCTATGCAGTCTATGCTACTAAATCACTGGGGGTTGGGAATCGGGTTCAACGGTTCGGTAATTTTTTTTTTTTTTTTTTTCCCACGGAGGACTTGCGTGCAATTTGGAATCATGACGCATTTAGGAATTCCCAAGTTAAAATTATCAGCAAACGACTTACATTTGCCCTGAAATAGTTGGTGCAATCATAAATGTGAGATTCATATACATATTATTATTCTTAAGGGAATGACATGGGTAGTGATATTTGAATTGAATATTTTGGTAATATGTATTTATATTTATTGTAATCATTTACCTTGTTATATTATGTAGATTCTTATATCCGTCCTGAAAGCCACCAGAGATCTAAATACGGTGAGATGATTGTTGTTTGATGCTTGGATAATCGAAGTTTACGATGTACACGTATCAAATCTATATTGTATCCTGATACACGCATTATGTGGTCACCTTCGTTTTAAAGCTTCACTATCTCTTATCATCAGATTACTTAATGCACATTTTTTATTTGGACAGTGATAGAATCATTATCTTAAATATAACATTTTTATTAAAACTTGATAATGATTATGCTTTTTCAATAAAGTTTCAAGAGATTGAAGATTAACGACAATAGTATGATAGTGATGACAAACCAATTTATAAGTATAATCTATATTATAAAAAATAAAGAAATCAATAAAATATATTGCTCCGGTTTTTAGTTCAATCTATATTAATAAAATTAATAATACAAATAAAGCAATTTACAAATGACATAAATAACATTTTAGTTCCACCGTTTTGCTGCCCCTTTTTAGTCCCTGCTCACTGTTTCTAGTTCTATATTGCTAATTTTCTATGCACTTTTGATCCTTATAGTGCTTATTGTTTGATACAGTACCGTGACTAACGGTGTGCCATGAGTTCTCAAGTCATCCCACATCTATAATGTAGTACCATAGTAAATTGGTACTCCTTCACAACAACCAATTTCACACAAATTTAAAAAATTATTAAATACATTTAATCTTATAATTTTTATTTATTTATAAAATATACATTATTTACTAAAATATTTTTAACCATACTTATAATAAATAGCACTATCATTCATTGTCTTAGAAATAAAATTAATTTGATCAAAATTTACTTATATTTTAATTTAAAAAATGTAAGAATTTTTATTTACTAAAAGGAAGTAGTACTTATTTTTTTTTATACAACAATTCTTTTTGCTTTTTCAAAAATTTAAAGTTGAGAAAGTTAATTTCTCACGTTTGAAAAATGGTTTTTACTTATGTTTTCCAAAGAATTGTTCCTATGACAATATATATATATTTTTTAATATTCTTAAGTTAAATGAAAAGTTTTACTTCAGTAAAATCATGTTTCTTTTATTTTTTATTTAATGGAGTAAAAATAATTGATTCTCAAATATCATATAATATTTTCAGAAACATGAACCAAATATATTTTAATCGTTCTAAGGAATGGAATGTTGATTTTCAAGCATAAAAGTTTCCCTTCTACCGAATGGCCACATGACAGTAAAAATGGCCTATTGGAATTATCAACCGCCATAGCGATGCTTGACGGATTCAGGGGGCTGCTCTTCCATGATGCCAGAACCTGTTGTTGCCAAGTACTCGCGAATGGTTGTTTTGCGGTCAGCAAGAAAAGTGTGGTCCAGAAAGTTGTTGTAGGCTGTTTCACCAAGATTCTTTGCTGCTAGTACACTGCAAAAATATTTCACTGTTAATTTACAGGGAATCCAAAAGTAGACTGGGTTTAAATAACGGACAGCTATTGTACTATTTGGCTTTGTCGAAACTGATAACCTCTTTTTATTTTACACATTGAAAGCATATTGAGAAAGAGGAGCAATGTTGTATTGTTGTCCATGAATTTGTGACAACTAAATTTGACAGGACAAAACTTAGGTGCATTTTCATAGGTATAATTGATGTTATTTTTTCAACTAGAGTTGAAGATTTATCTCGGTAATATATGTAGATTTCATTAATATCCATAACCCTTACACATAACCCTTACACTGTTTCCTCTGTCAACATCAAATCAATAAATTACAAATCGGCTTTTACTCAAAACGTGCTTACCAGTGTCGAAGATAAACACGGCAAGGTAACACATCATCTCTCCAAATTTTATCTATATTCCACCGTCCATATTGCTGAAAATAGATTTCCTTGTCTCCTGAAAGGAACTGTAATGTGAGAATGCATAAATGAAGACAAAAGACATGAAATAAGAAAGAAACAATCTAGGCATGACAAATGGCATGCATAAACAAACAATCGGATCAACTTTTAACGTAAAATGTAGAAATCACCAACAGTAAAATGATTGGATGAAATTCCTATTATCTAATGAACCATTAAACCCTTCTGCCTAGCCAGAAAATTTATGAAATATTGAGGCATACCTAGAAATATTTTGACTATTGTATGCATCCCGCCAAGCAGAGACAAAGAAAATTGATATAAGATAAATTAAAGTCTCTAACTAGAACTTCATAACTTGTTATTACTTACAGTCTTATAGAGTCCCAGTCCCCCCTTTCTCCTTTCCAGAAAAACCTTAACGTCATCCATCAGTGAATATTTGCTGAATTTGTTACAATATATATTTATTAGGATAACATGTTCATGTTAAGTCATCATGAGTTTTTCTACGTACACAACTCTATTCAATTCCACAAGATACTTGTTTATACCTATGCCAAAAAACATGGACGCAAACATAAATCCACAAACATGAAAAAGTTGGACAAAACCAGCCTTACCAGTTTCCAAGACAATACAAGACTCTTGCCCTTAACAAGCACAACGCCAATGAGACTTACCTTTACATCTAATGTTGAAAAATTCCTCGTCACTATAACGGGCACAAAGGACCTGAGAAAAATTTGCCTCATCAAATAACCAATTTGCTAACTAAATAATCAACAATCATTATGAGCAGACATAATTTATTCATTGGCACAACAACAGCAATCATCACATACCGCAGGAAAGTCAAAACACTTGCCATCGAGCGTTTCAGGAAGAACCTACCACACAAGCAACTAAACATCTCACACCACCACATATAAAAATATCACAAGACAATCAAAATATAAAAACAACAGCAAGGCTCAAAATTAACATCTACAAGCTTACAGCAAGAAACCGAAACTCAACCTCCCTCTTGATAAAATCTGGAATCTGCAAATTTATCCGCAGAAAACGTTAGCACTAGAGCTCAAGTTAACAAAAAGAAGAACACACTGAACCTGAATTTACTATGCAGTCAGCAAATCGGAAGCTGGACGAGCTATAAAAAAAATAATAATTTGATTTTCTCCTCTTATAATCTTCATCCAATAATCAGAATTATCTGAATGCGTAAAAGTAAAATTTGACCGAATCCGGTTTGAAAATTGAAGCACTGACTAGTGAGCAATGTACCTCTGATTTTCTGATCTCAAAGACTGTTACGACAAGAGTTTCTCCTTCACAGGGCTCCACACTCAAGCTGGAAATCTCCTAAAAACAAGAGAAAACAAAAGCATGATAGAATTGCAAGTCCAACGTGGCTACTTTTGAATTTGACAATGAGAACGAACCATGGTTTGGGGCTTGGCGATGCCGCGCTCGAAGAAAACCGGAGCGACGTGAGCGAAGACGCGGCGGAAGCGGTTGAGCCTTGCGGTTCTGAAGTTAGCCAAATCGGGGAAAGTGCTTCGCGCGCTTCTCTCTGCGGAGAGAAAGAAGAAGTTAGTGATAGGAATAGGTTAGTAGGGAGAGTGAGGTGGTTAGTTACCGGAGAGGAGGGAGCCGAAGCCGCAGATGGAGATGTAACCGTCGGGAGAGAGGAGAGGTTCGAAGTCGGAGTGGTGGCTGAGTTCGGCGACTGGATAGGGTGATGATCGGAGAGACATGGCGGTTTTGGGGGAAACGAGGGAGAGAGTGGCGCGTTGGTGGGACGCGCGAGAGGCGAGTGGCGAGAGTTGGAAGGGGAAGTTAACGGAAGTGGTGCTACTGCTACTGCTACTTGCTATGTTCATCCACGCAGCGCCCAATTGCTCAATTCACTCTTCGCTCAATACCCAATATCTTTTTTAAACAATTAAATCTCTACATACAAATCACTTATTATTATATAATTTCTTTTTTTTTTTAATTATTTTTTATTTATACTATATCTATAATTAAAAAAATAATAATAATAAAGAGAATATAATTTTTTGATTTTCACTTTTCTTAACACATTTAATTTTATTTATCATTCTTACATTCCTTCCTTTTAATAACTATATTTTTTTAAAATAACTTTCTTTTTAATATAAATATTCTTAAGATAAATATCAAATGACAAAAAATACAATACATTCTATTTCAAAAATCACAGACAAAGTATGGTGTTGAGTTGGATTGGAAAAAGTGCACACCGGATCTTCCTTTGTCTCTACACTACACCCGAATTTGTTCTATGAGCCACAAAGTAAATAGAAAGAAAAAGAAAGTTAGAAATACAAAGTGATTTTGAGAACTTTTGTTGCATGTTTAGATCAATGTCAATGGCAACGAGCGGTTTGACGATGTTGCCCATGGACTTGCTGATCGTGGTCTTCTTGGTGCGAGTGAAAGAGAAAAAACAGAGACGAGAAAGAAGAGAGATGCGATGGATAAGAAAGACAAATTTAAAAAAAAAAAACTGGTTAAATAAGTTGCTTGTTAAGATCATAACCGATCTAACAGTCACAAGAGTCTAATGTGATATGATAAAATTATTAAATTTTATTATAATATTTTAATAATTTGTCTAATGTGATTTTACGTATAATTTATAGCGGAAGTGTATCTATATTATATTCGAAGTTTCATGGTTGGTAAAGCCTGAAGATTTGTTGGAGACAAATTCATCCTTCAAAATGTTTCACCAAAGAAATAAAAGCTGAGAACATGCAAATACAGAAGTATTTAATTTGTGCCATAAAGAAGCAGCAATGAGTGGTTTAATCACACACCATTGTTATTGGACAATTTTAGTGAAGAGAAGGGTGAGAGTGAAAAAAGAGGCAAATAGCGGATATATCATCAATAGCAATGCCTCTTCTTTTACGTTTCCACTCATGCATGGCACATTTCACCACTCTTTCAGCTGCCTTTTCCTTATCTGGTGTTGAACCAACAATTCTCACTGCTTCTTCGTTGGAAATTACATCCCATACCTGAGATCAATAACAGAAACATATACATAAACTTCACACTTGCATCATAGTCATAATTCCATTTAATCACATGCACAAGTGACATGCTCACTATAATATCATTGGCATTTCACTCTTTTGTCAAGTCCTACTTTCTCTTTTATATCCTGTCCCATGAATTTTAGTGAATCAAACACACCCAAAGGGTGAGTTTCATACACACAAAAAGAGAATGGCACAAGCGTATCATTACTACTTAACCAATCAAGCATGATCTTCATTTAAATGATTTGGTCCAACATACTGTTTAGGAAACAATAACATTGCATTTTGTTACACTTTTGCAATTTCGATTTGTCATAAAACTGACCATAGAAGGAGTTATTGTATGGTTAAAGAGAAATATGATAAAAAATTAGGTGCATACCCCATCTGTTGCCAAGATGACAAATTCATCCCTGGTGGTTAGTTTTCTTTGTGTAACATCTGGTACAGAGATTAGTCCGAAGTCCTTTAAACAGTAGTCACCAAATGCTCTAGATATTGCTAGTCCTGGGGTCTTACCATTTGGCATCCAAACCCTGTACACTCCTGGTTCATCTTCCATACAAAATACTCTCCCTCTAGATTGCATTATGCGCTCTGCCTCCTCTGAGATTAACAAAAACAAGACTCAAATTTCTGCAATAAAGACAAACACTTCCTATGCTGGGACGTATGTGAGTGAATATACTTGGTAAATTTGGCTTCAAGTCAGTGGTAAGCTGAACAGAAGTCAAGGTGCCATCCTCTGAAGTGGTTGCCAAGACAGCCCTAGAATCACCAACATTTGCTATAGTGAGATGTTCACCCTGAAAAGTTAGAGACACGAACTTACAGCTACTTCAGATTAATACATCAAAGCTAAGATCTAGTATAGCTCTTACAATTTAGAGCTAGACCAACAAAATGTTTGCTTATTCCAAATTATGTTATCAACCAACATTTTGTTGCTCTTGCTACATTATTAAGATTAGGGAAATTATGGATAATCAACTATAATATTTTTTTTGGTTCTTATATTATTAGGGATAGGGTGAATCTTGGAGCAACGATAATCATCAAGTTGTGTAAACAGCCTTTTCCATTGTAAGGCAGCATATATCCAATTCTTTACAACACTGTGCCATCAGTTTTTTAATCTAGCAATTAGAGTAACTTTGAGCTGATTTTTGCATTCCATGGCATCCAAGCTTGTAGCAAAATCTAACCACCACTTTGACAGTTAAAAAAGGGATTAACGTACTCTTACCATTAAGTGCATGTTTGTTTTAGATTTTGATAGAATATAATTGATTTTGAACTGTTAAACGTGACCAAAATGTCTAATCTGTCTCTAAATTAATCTCAATTGCTAATTTTACATAAGAATGTGTGCTACAGCCTATAAATTGATTATAAGATGTGACCAAACGGACACTAAAATTATACAACTAATATGAAAATATGACTAATGTAAGTTTTTTTTTTTTTTTTTTAAAGTAATAGGGGGTTACAAGAGACTAAGAGCATCTAACAAATTATGGCAGAACATGGAGATAAAGTACCTCTTTGTTCCTGATCATAACTGAAGGATCTCATGGATAAAAACATACTTGGATAATGCAACTGATAACTTATATACTGAAGACTTGCCTTACCATTTCTCGAGAAGGAGAAATTGATCATGTTGAGTATCACGGTCATAAAGTTGAAACTATTGTCTATAAATTTTTAAGTTCTCAACATACTATCTTAATTTCGTTTCCTGTGTGATTTTTTAGGTAGGCGCAATATGGCTCTTTTCATGACAGTGACCCACAAAAACAAAAGAAAGGAACTGTATACATTGGAAACATGGCATACATGATAAAAATATGTGAAGTCTGACAAAGTTAACATATTTCGAAACCATTATTTCAAATCGTAATGAAGTTTGTGCTTTGATGAGCTTTGGAAAATTTGATTTTGTAAAATTGATTGTGAAGTGATGTGATATATGTTTGAAGTTATTATTATAAAAATAAGTTAATAGTAAAACTCGGTACAAAATTTTTCATCCAACACAAAAACTACATAAAGGTTGCTTCGACGTGGAACCAAACATGAGAAAATTTACTGAAGATCTCGTTAACTAGTATTTCAAAGTGATTTGAGAATCCAACATGAAACCAAACACACACTAAATCAAATATCAATGGTTGAAGATACCGTATTTATCATATAAATATGGATAACCTGTTTGATAATTGTCAAAGCTGTAGTACCACTTTGAAAGGAATCAATCCCAGCATGCTGCTTTAGATCTTGGTCAATGGCAGCACAAGTGCTTATGTAGGACTGCTTCCATATGTCAAATCTATGGAGGTTCCTGTCTGCTTCCATCTTAAAATCCAGGTCAAGTGATGTTGCAGCCAGATTTTCCTGCCAGTTGCACAGCAAAAGAGAAGGTAGTAGTTTCCTGACTCTTTTGGATACCAAGTGCCCCCAATGGCCATGCCCATCAAAAACTCCGCAGAAGATGATGTCTTCTTGGCAACCAAATTCCTATCATCAGAAACAAATTAGAACATAATATATAAGAACTTATTTGGGTAAACTTATTCAGAAGCACTTCTGTGAGAGGAAAATATGAAATAAATTTTTCAATAAGCTAAAATTAACTTACACATAAGCTATTTTTATGAAGTTTTTTCCTATTAACTTTTTCAAAATCATATTTTTTAACTCATGTATAAACTAGTTTTAACTCAGACAAATTTATTTTGATTTTCCTTTCTATTATTCTCTCTTAAAAATATTTCTGAAAAAACTTATTCAAACAGACCCTAATTGGACATCTTAAGGTTTTTGTCCCACTTATACTGAAAATGGCAATAATTCAGTCCCCTATTGTTATGTTTGCATACCTCCCAAACAATAAGTTTGTCCTGATTGAATCCTTTCTGGCCCTTCTTAGTGAACACAGAGGCAACATTGTTGGCCTTGGGAGACTTAACAATTCCAGATGAAGTCAATAACAGTTCATTTTTCTTTGCTTCCTTTGCCAATGCTTCCACAGCTTTCCTTCCACCATCCTTTCTACAACTCTTGTCTTTCTTCAACGACACTGTTCTTGCCAATCCATTGACAAGAGATGGAAAAAGAACCATGGCTACTACATTCGAATCACAGTTGCATTATACACTGCCAAAATATTTGGTCCTTATTATGTTTATCTTCAAGTATAAATGCAAGGATTGGAAATCAGGTAGTAGGTGCCCTTTAGTCACCAAAAAAACAACGATAATAGATTAAAAAAAAAGATATTGAGAACCCAGAAACATGTTACATGATCGTAACAGTAAAAAATCTTAGAAGATGAAGATTAAACCTAATTCAACCTTACATAATTGACTTATATTATGAAGATGTCTTTCACTTATATATTTTATTTTCCAATACATCCCCTTGTGTCAGCACTATTAGATTTGATGTGGTGGCCATTTTTAATATAGACTTAAGATACGTTCTAAACTTCCAATACTATCTTATAAATAAGCATTTAGATTCAATAATACTAAATTGACATGTAAGATGAAAATTGTCTATCATTGATTTATTTTGGTTATATCATTACTCAACGTAAGATCTCAAAAAAAAAAAAAAAGCAAAATCATTATGATATATAAATTTATAGTATCTCAACTTTCTCATCTGAAAACATAAACAAAGTTTCAAAGAAGCATTCAGGTAATGTCAAAAAGACAGTGCATTTCTTACACTACTCAAAATTCACCCCAGAGGAAGATGAAAAAGAATTCATAACCGCAGAAAACTCAAACTGAGTAAAAGAAACTTAATATAGTAGAGTCTGATTTCCCACCAAATTTGATCAAGAGAAAGAGTCAGTTACATGTGCCTGAGATTGGAATGACCACCAGCAAGTCCTATCTCATGCTAGAACTGAGAGATGATTCTTCTAAAGCTATATATTATTACTTAACTCCATGAACCCAAATTGCAGCACAACTAGTGTACGATCGTGGCTTTTACTTCTTGTAACTTGTAATGTAAGGTGGTGGCCGATAGCGAATCTTATTACAAACGTCACATGTGATGGCCAACTTCAGAGGTCAAATTAGTAATTTAAAAGCAAAAATGGATATATTTCCGTAATTCATAGTTTGCATGAAACGAGGTCGGTAGTTAACAATTATATTACTAAAGCAACTTACCAATTAAGTATGAATAAATAACTTGTGTGGATGAAATTTCTCTGTGTTTTAGTCGTATGCATTAAATTAAGTGATCTTCAATCTCAATCAAACAGAAATTTTCTTTGACTGAATATTCTAATAGCGAGGCTCAATCTGTTGGGAACTTAACAGTTTTTAACGACACGTCCTCGAGATGATAAACCAAACGTAAGCCTATCTCTTGGCCAGTTGTTATATAGCCCCAGGACTTCAAGGTCAAACAAGTGGACACTGGTGAGATTATTTTATGAGCCATGATGAACTTGGTTAGCAAACAAATACAAAGTCATGGCTGGGGTAGCTTTGGTTGGAAGCCAGAGAGGCGTGATGGCTGTATAATATTAACATAAAAAGAAAGACTGCTACATAATAAATTAATAATTATTGAACATCGTCACCATTGGAACATTGCAACATCTCAGGACAGATGTATGTGTGATTTATAAAAAGATTCGTATTCAGAACATTTCATAAAGAATTTGACAAGAATGTCACCAACCTAAAAGGAAGTGATAATTTGATACATGGTGGTGGGGGATAGAACGGAATAAAACATTATAACAGGATATTAATGGACCTGTTACGCAGAAAACCATTTTTCCAGACAACGTTTATTATGGGTGACTGCTGGAAATCAGGTCAACCCTGAATACCATTCTGCATTTTTTTAAAAATTCTCCATTTTATAAAATAATTTTATGTTATTTTCATATATCGAGTATAGCATTTAACGTCAGAACCAAAGGTTGAGAAAATGCTTACTTTAATTAAATTGTATATTTTCATTATAAATAATGTTTATATCATTAGAATGGGCAAAAATTTAAAGCTATACTTTGAGACAAACAAGCTAATTCAACAATAGGAAAAAATAATGCAAATGAAATGATGCACCACTGCAATAGCATATTGTAAGAAAGACGAGATTATTAATGCAGTCTACGTTGAATCGAAGACCATTTGTAGTTGAAAAGTAGGTCTAAAAGCTCTGTAATAGCTCCTGAAATCAACCATGTATACACTAAAAAATTCTAAACTTTACATCTTCGTAAACTCACCTAGTGGGGTAAAAACAAGAATGAAAGAAAGAAATACAGTAAATATCAGCGTGTATTATTGAACTGATTTCTTTTTTCTATAAAAATTAAACTTTTTTTTTTTTTTTACAGTGAACAGTTATAGATACATTCTTTACAAGAATATCATGATTAAACCTTGTCTCCCCCCACCCCTTTTTCTTTTTCTCACTTGCAGAATCGTAATAAAAAGGAATTCTGCAAGAATTAAATTACACATCCCTGTAAAAATTGTAAAGAAAAACCCAATATGTTATGTACTCGGAGACATCGAACTCAATGGAAAACTTGAGTAGCGTAGTATTCGCTTTCATTAAAAGCAGGTCTTAGACTTTCCTGACACATGAACTCCAGGGGAAAAGAGACAAGATGACCCCTCACTGCTGCTAATCTATCCAAGGGATCGGTGTTCTTAATGCCACCATCATGATATGATTCTAATTTTTCTGGGGCTATTCCTAAATCAATGGTCGTTTGACCAATTTTGTCTTTCCAAAAAGCCACACTTTGTCTGAAAGCAAGTCTGCAGAAACATTAGGTTTAAAATAATGTTAGGACAAGACAAAAGAGAAGTTTCACCCAAAGATGTAAGATGAGCGAAAACTATCATTAACATACCTGGTGTGTATCAGATCATTTGGTACGCAAGAAAAGACATCCTGGTAAATAGTAGTATTCGTCTGTAAAATGTAACACCAAGGACAATTGTCAATATTCTTATTGAAGTCTTATTTCTTATTCAGTTATTCAGAAACATCGTAAGATCTAAAGAGGTATTCAATCATCTAGAAAACATTAGGAAAAATGAAAACGTGTGTGCGTGTTATATCTGCATAAAGAGACAGAAAAAATGGTTTAACTGAACAGTTTACGACACTAAACGTATAAAACCTAAAACATACAATCATAAATCTGTTGTACAACTAATAGTAATGCAACCTAAATAACTTCACAAGGAGATTGGGCTAAAGTGTAATCTGACAACAATGCCATACTCCTGAAGCAAGCATTGCACTCTAAAAGAACTTTGGAGTCCAAAGGTAAGGTAGCTGCCAAATTTCATACCATCAAGTTCAAGCACACACTAGTGACCCGTGTCTTTTTGGCGGATCACATGTGTCATTTCCAGTCATGTCTTTTATCCCCAGAGTTTGGAAGTTAATCTGGCACTAAGGACTGATTGTGTTACATATTTTGGAAAATCTTTTTTCTAGTAGAATTAGACACGGATTGTCATCATTATTTGTCATAAAAATTAAATCCTCAGTAGTTCATATAGATCTCAAATGCTTTTTAATGATTTGAACAATATTCTGCATTTCGCTTTACTTCTAACTTAGAAGGCTATCCTCCATTTGATTCGACTCTTCTTACAACTTACAAGGGCCTTATCAGCCGTCCCATATTTTCTTCAATTGGTGATTCCTCCATTTTTACTATATGCATTATTTCTTGATCCTATCTAGTCTTGCATGTCCACAGGCCACTCACCCATGACAGCATCCTTGTCTCTCTCAACACTGAGCTTATGCTCTTCGGGACATTTTACCACCCAACATTTAATGCTAGATAGCACTGTGGGTTTCAGTGGTAAACTTTTCCTAAAAGGTACCTTTCTGTCACAAATAACATTTGTGGGCTGTGACATTTCTCCATTTTATCCCTCCTACGTTGAATCCTATTACAACTCTCAATATCTTCATTTTCTTTTACGATGCAAGATACTCCAAACTAGTAACTCGTGAATAGTATGATCTTCAATTTTTAACTCTGAGCTAGTTGGAGGTGCACGCCTTGTTAAACTTGATTTTCAAATGCCCCATTCAATTTCTATTTAATCAGAAACCATGTGCTTCCAAAGCTTTTTGCAACAACCCTAATTAACATTTATTTCACTCTCTTGACTTTCCCATTAGGATTATAGTCTGCTAAAAGCATGCATTGTTGAATTGACTCTTAGACATGCTTATAGCAAGCACATCCAAAACTAAGGTAAAAAGATAAGAGTATCCAAAGTAAACTTTTGGCGTGACCAGGTAATTCTCAATGACCCCAACACTAGTAGTAACCCTATTATACAATCTCTTTTGTTCTCTAGAGTCTAGAACCTTCCATAAACATCTCTTGGCACCCTATCATAGGTATTTCTGTTTCCTTCAGTGCCTCTCCATCAATCTTCATAAATATTGCTTCCATTATTAATCTGGCTAGCATAGAACAAAATTAGTTCTTTGAAATGTGAGTTTCTTGCCTTAGTATCCATTCAGTTACCCTTTTCCATAATTTCATGGTATGATGGTATAGCTCATGAGTTTAATCCTAAGAAAGAACTACCAAAGGGCATAACAATCCTGCAAATTTTTTTTTTCAATTTTGGAACTAATCACTCAAGTGATTAATGAGTAGTAAAATGATCAATTTTCCTAGACAATGGTTATTTTTACTAGGAATTTACTAAATGAAAACTTCCCTTAATCTCCCCTGCCGATTTTAAAATGATTGAATCCATTGCCTTGCACTAATGAACACATAGGTTTTGCCAATAAATCAGTAATAGAGAGGGACAGAATATATAATAGAACATTTTTTACGTAATTTATGATAATTCAAAGTAGAACACTAGATGATATCCTCCTAAAATAGCAAAAATATTTTTAAAAGGGTTAAATTGCAAAATAACCAATGTTAACTTTAGACTTTTCATGAATTGTGTCTTCTAGTTTTAATTTCTGTAGTTTACTTGTTAACATTTAGCAATGTGCAACTTTTTCCAAACGTGTCACTGTATTTATTTCATATTTTCGTAACCAGATACTTTCTAGCATTAAGAAATTTTAAGTGTTGTACGGGACTAATAATTTTAGAAAGGGATTTCAGTTTCTAAAAGTGTAAAGTTAAAGTGGGAACTTGCAAAAGCAAAAACTTCAGGGGGCAATTTGCCAGAAGTCTAAAGTTAAAGTACGTAATTTGCTATTTGACCAAAATAAAAAAATATATATATAAAAATTGAAACGAAAAGAAACCTCAAAACAAACACATACAAAATGAACAACCAAATCTGTATCAGCTAAAATCAACTCGGATCTTCAATCCTTAACTTAATAAAAGGACAGAAATATGATTAAAACGGCAGAGGCCACTTTTAAAGGATAATTATTTATGCAAAAATTACTTTTAGAAGAATGAATTGTATGCATGGAAATGTTCATGCAATAGTAATTTTATAAGAATATATCACTTAAAGCACCATTATTCATCTAAAAAAAACATATCAAATTAGCAATGAATATCAAGTTGGTAACATTATTTTTCTTATTACCTTCGCTGTTGCCATCCAAATATCCTTGTAAGTAGATTCAACAACTGGGTCCATTATTTGATTGACCTGAGGAAAAGGTATTAAAATAGTCATTACAAATCAGGCACATGAAACAACTACTCGCTAAAGAATGAAAAATCACTACTCTCTAACCTCTCCTGTAGGTAGACCCAAGTGCTCAGACCATAAGGACAATCGGAGGGTCAAGGAAAATTTTCCTGCTTTCCAAGGCTTTCCATCCATATAAGAACCAATCAACTCTCTGTCTTCTATAACCACACCAATCTGAAATCCATATACAGGAAAATAAAGGAACAGAAAGGGGTGCAGTAATTATGCATTAATAGATAAAAGAAAGCCAAATATAAGTTTAAAAAATGAAGCAAATAGTAATTAACAGACTAATCTATGAATTCAATACACAACTTTAAAGGTGAGAAAAAGGGTGTTGGTGATAAGATATACCTGTCAGTTCCGTTGAAAGTATTTTTTCATTAGTTAAATATTTTATTTTAAGGTGTTGCCTCAAAATTTGTGAACATCAATTATGTCAAACTGAAGATATGAATAAAGAAATTCAAAGTTTATGAACATCAAGGATTAAATTTGTAGTCTACACCTAAATCTCCCAATAAAATATATAGGAAAGAGAAAAGCTAACAAGATATTGGTTGGATTAGGAAATAGTACTTCATGTAACATGATAAAATGCATTTAGTGTTCATGGGCGTTTGGAATTAGGAAGTTGCACTCAATATAAGTGAAGGAAATAGTCTCCACCAAGTCTACTAAGAGTCTACATATATGAATGCTATGTATAACATACACATTCTCTAGAACAAGAAGGCATTCTCATTCTCAATTCTCTTCATAGAACATTTTTTTTCTATCTTTCTCCTCTCCCCCTCTAAATTCAACAATATCAACTAACATGATTACATAATATAAAAATTAGCATTATGAAAATTATTTCAATGAGGTTTTATTAAATGAGAGACAGAGAACACAGTGTAAGTTAATTTAAACCCCAAATCAAACTTGTGCAGCATATACAGGGAAAACATAGAACTGTACCTCAGAATCTCTGGAGCCAAGTAAGCTCCTATCATTAATATTAGCAGATCCTATCAAAGTTATACAATCATCAACAACCATGATTTTACTGTGAACATACACCTGCAAAAAAGTGTATATCATTAAGCTGACTGAAACTACCTCTGTCTATGACCATAGATGTAAAAGAATACCTGGCTGGTTGCCACAGGACCACCATTAGAGAGTCTACCATAAGATCTTAGGCCGTAAAAAGAGATGTAGTCATGTATTTTAGAACCAAGAAGTTCATAAAGATTATGCAAGATAGAATTTTGCCCTCTGCAAATGGTTCGATACTGCCAATGCATTATGGCTCTCACAGATGCTGCACCACTATCATCAAGGCCGCCCTAGATAAGTAAGAAGTAAGTCTAACGCTCATGCAAAAGCAATATTTACAGTGTTGAAACAAAAATAATAATAATCAGAACCTGGAAGCCAGGCAGGAGAGGTATGACAATTATAACCCTGAAACATTTTTTGTCATTGTAAGCTCGCATAACCCGTCGATATAAAGCTTCTAACACACGATTCCGTATCATCTCATCTCCAGAAAGACCTGAGATAAAAAACTGATTCTGGAACATGTTCCCAAGGATGAAATAGAACAGTCAGAGAAAGGTCCAGAACAGATTAAGGATGTGATAACATATTACAACTACCCCCCTTAATATTGGGAAAAATCCAAGTCCCACATCGACTAGAGATTAGGCAATTAAATAGTATATAAGTGAAAAACAACCCTCACCTTACAAGCCGGTTTTGTAGGGTTGAGCTAGGCTTAATCCACTATTCTAAGATGGTATCAAAGCTATCCTAGATTCTTAAAAATAGGCCACCCACCATTTATCTACGTACCAAGCCCAATAGTGTTGGACGTGAGGGGGTGTATTGGGAAAAACCCAAGTCCCGCCAATCCTAGATTATTAAAAGGGCCACCCAACATTTATCTACGTACCAAACCCAATAGTGCTGGACGTGAGGGGGTGTATTGGGAAAAACTCAAGTCCCACATCCACTAGAGATTAGGCAATTGAATAGTATATAAGTGGAAAACAACCCTCACCTTACAAGCCGGTTTTGTATGGTTGAGTTAGGCTTAATCCACTATTCTAAGACTTAAGCATGAACAATTGAAGGAGAAAGCAGCAGAATATATAATATTGCTTCATCAAAGCTGGTTGCATAATCCATAATATCTAGCACACAATATATATTACAAAATTTCAGAATATTGGGGTCTTTATTAACGTAGTTGTTCAACTATATTCACCTTTAAACTTGGGTAGGCATTGCAAAGAAAGTCCAAATAATTTAGGTATGAGAGTTTTTTCTCTTTAAATTTAAAAATTGAAAGGGTGTTTGGTAATTTTCAAAACTATTTTAAAATGGTAAAAGACGAAACTAATTACATGAACCCATATAAAAATGAACCATCAGTTCAAAATTATACTTAGTTTAATTTGTCCAAAACCAATTTCTAATATTAAATTTCTTTTTATAAAAGTGAATGATCATGTAACTATTAAATATCATCTTAAAACTAATTGACATTAAACGAAATTACCTAACAAGTATATAAATTGCACCTCAAAACATGAGGAAGGGGATGTGGAACTTTCCAATACCCCCACCCCTAGATTCCTCACAAATAAGACTATAGGAGTAGGTGAAAACAGTCTGAATTTGTCATCGTTGTGTTGCAATAAATATTTTGTCCATTTGTTCAGTTATAGTAAAAAGTAAAAACAAAACATTAGGTTTAAGGAAAATGAAAATTACACCAATAGGCCAAGAGGGACAATCCAGTTTCTATATGAGGATAGATCACGGTCCACACCTGTCATTGATGTGTTTACATGTGTTGATTTCTTTATGTGTGGTCTAGATGCCAAAGGGCTTCTATGTCTGATAGAGTGATGTCAATCATTTTGCTTTTCTAAATAGCATTTATTCCTTAAACAACTATATCTTATGTGGCTTTCCAATTTCCCATAGATAAATTTTGTTCATAATCCAAACTACCAATAAAATTAATTAAAAACTACATCTTTCCAATCATCTAAATCTAGGTGTTAGGCATAGTAGATAATATATTAGCCATATGATCCTTACAGTCCATTTAGCTCATATTAGACCTCGTAGCATGGCTTCACCACATCAGCCAGAATAGATGTCTATAAAAGTTAAAAAGGTGAATTTTGCTTTTAAAAGGAAATTGGAAAAATATAAACCTATTAGGTGTTAAAAGAAGCAATTATCTCAGAAAGTCAGTTATAGCATCAGACAATTCATGAAAAATACAAATAGTTCATAATAATGGCCTTTTAGTTACTATAGGCAATAATTACATAGTAATTCAAGTAATCATTGTCCATGTTCTTTCATTTTTATTATCTATTTGCTAGGTTTCTAATTTCTAGATAGATTTATTATTATAACAAGGTAAAACCACTTTTGCCATAATCATCTTCATAAAATAGTAATTCAATGGAGATATGATACAAGAAGGAAGTTTATTTAATACCTCAATGTAGATGAAGTATTCAGCTTTTTCAATAAGAGAGCAATAAGCACTGTGGATGCTCTCTTCGTTTTGACTTGTTCCAGCAGACCATTGACTCACGCTCCTAATAACCTATCAATTAAAAGTTAATTTATTAAGAGAGAATACAACAACCAATGTTGAAAAATTAACAGCATATAAGTGACATGAAAAGAACAAAGAATAAGACACTGTAATGCACCATCATGAAATTCAATAATTCTAGCAAGAAAAAATATATCACCAACTTCACATGGATTTTAGTCTTTATGATGTGAAAAAATGGAACAAAGCCAAAAGTAACCAAAAATATGACTTATCTCAATAAAAAGTATTTAATGACAAAAATAACATCTGTTATGTTTTAATGAACCTTGTGACAAGATGAACATATGAAAGGTATATATCATAAACAAAATTGAACAAATCTATGGCACAATTATATTTAAGTAGGCCATGAGAGTAGCGCACTTGGCAACGGCAGGAAGCAAGAGGACCAACTTGTCCTGATTCATCAGCAAAACCTCCCTGGTCACCCCGTTCTTGTGTTTCCCACCATTCTGAATCTGTACTTTGTAAATCAAAATGAGCCACTCTATCCACAGACTTTTTTTCACGGTCATGCTCAGAATCTAGATCATCTACAAAGCCCTTCATGGGTGTATCTGGACCAACTGCTACAATTTTGGCCTTCCGGAATGAGAATGGAAGACCACTTCTTATCCTTCTTGGCTTGTCAAGGTGATGTGAAGAGGAGATTACCCCATTCAATTTTTGGTCTCCTTCATGAGTATCCAATCCATCAGACTCCTGAGGCAATAGTAGAGGAATATCTTGGTCTTGGGAAGATGAACAAAATGAATCATCTCTCTTAAGGATAGTATGATTGTCAATGCTCCCACTTTCAATCTGTATCTCTCTGCTTCCTCCCAAGTAATGTGGAATAACCATATGATGCTGAGGCATAAGTAATGGTATTGCTTGCTCATACGGAGCTTTGTTCCTCTGATGTGAAGAGGTGGAAAAGAGAAAATATTATTTCCTTTAGGGAATATAGCAACAGGATCAGAATGCTTTAAAACTTCAACGAAATTGCAAAATAAGACTAACCTTAGCATAATTCCATCGCTGAACAAAATGCCTAGCAATGTCACGGCAAGGTGGTCCCCAAAGGGCACAATGAACATCGTGCCAAGGCATACGAGGAAATTTTTCACGATCCAATTCATCTTTCATTGTATCTTCCCAAGAATTTGGTTCAGATTCTCTGTCAAAATTGAAAATGAATATATGAATTACATTCAACAAGAGCGAGCTACTCTATGATAAATTAATGATGAATGACATATCTTAACACATTCCAAGTGCAAGCTTGCCAATAATTTTCTTTGGAATTTTGTAGATATTTATTGTAGCATACCATATCAATATATAAAAAGTTAGGACCAAAATTTGGATAGAATCATTGTAATTAATACCAACACTAATGTATATAGAGATCATATGTGGACTGTCTAGTCTACATACACCATTTTATCCCTAATCAGGTTGTTATTAAGATTCTTAGCGTTTTCCAAGTCTAATATTGCCACTGCTAGAATAAAACAGAAAAGTGAAATAAATAGTGTTAGAAGAGAGCATGGAAAGCACAGACATAATCGGCAGAATTTGTCTCAACTATACAACAGAAGTTTATTAAATAGGAAAAATACATATAATATGCATAAAATAGGGAATATTTTTTTCCCTTAAATTATAACATATTGCCCTATTTGGTGCTATACAATAAATAAATATATTTTCTGATTCTCAAGATAAAGCATTGAGGTGAATTTGAGTACCTATGGGAAATGCATTATATGAAACATCAAAAATATTATTTCTGCACTTAACACGTAGATATCAACCTCTTTGTGGGGGAAAAATCAAATCAACCCACACCTCTCTCCTTTCCAGCAAAACATTGTGGAGGTACAAAGAATTGTTAGATTTTAGGTGTAGATGAAACATTTTCCATAAAACATAGATGTCCAACATTAATAAATAATAACTTCAATCTGAAGAAATTTTAATTTTTGAGAATTACTTCTCCAGAAAAGCATTTCTATATAAAACATAATTGGAAAGAAACAACTAGTCCAAAAATGTCTTCTTTTTTTTTTCTGGTTTCTGCTTTTGCTCCTTAACAATGCTTGGTTGCGGGGAATGAGGAGGAGCGGAGAAAGGAGGAGCCAAAGTCCCTCCCTACCAGTATAAGAGGGATATGAAGAGGAAGATAAATAAATTATAAGTTTTGGACAGTGTTTTTATTTTCCATCCACTCTTCTTGTAAACCAAACAAGGGGACCCTCCCATCCCCTCCTTTAACCAAATAATGCATAATATAAGCAGAATTTTCTAACTACTCTCTAACAACAGACTTTGAGCTACTACTGTCACATATAAACAAGGACTCCAAGGGGGAGCAAGCAGGGGCCTTGTCTCCCTTCACTCTTCGAAAAAATATATTATGATAAAATACATTTATTATAATAAATATATGATTATTAAAATTATATTTAACTTATTTTTTAATTAATCCTTTAATTTGTTTGAGATTGATTCTTCCTGTTTCAGTGGTTATAATTGAGAGATCGCTTTCAACTATATACATGGTGAAAAATAAACTTAAGAACAAGATAAAAGATAGATTTTAAATTAATTGTTTAATTTTACAATTAGAGATTGCTTGAAAGTTTATACATATTCTATATTGTTGATGAATTTTAAGATTTAAAAGAATGATATTCATAAGTTAGATAAACAGTATAAAGTATTTAACAATTATGATTAAACATTTATTTAAATATATTATTAAAAAAAAAATTCCCCCTCCCCACACCCTCTTTAGATAGTGTTTTGTATTGGTCTTTGCATATAAACACTCCTATTATTTCTCCAAACATTTCAAATAATCAAAATAAGTGTTTCCCTAAAATTAAAACTAAATTTTGACAATTTCATAGCATGGCCAAATAGACACTAACTCTTAAACAGAGTCTTTGTGATTTTATTTTGTATTCACAAAACTTACCTTGGGTTATAATAGTCTTTTCCAGGCCAAACAAGAGGAGGGAAATCTCCCACTTTATGCTCAGATGTGTCATACCGACCAAAGCATAAATCCAGTCCTCCAATAAAGCAGATATGGTTATCAATAATGACAAGTTTTTCATGATGTGACCTGTGTATAATAATAACAAACACATAAGAAACCACAAAAATTGCTGTATAATTGATATTTTCTATAATTAAATAAATAAGTTCATAAAACTATAGACTAAACACCAAGTTTTGGGTAATTGCATACCACAGGTAAACACCAGTAGAAAAGTGGTCAGGATAGCGTAATACCCTCACATTCTCATGAATGCTAAGAAGCTTTTTCTTGCTATAAACACTGTTGATTTTCAAAGCAAGAGCCACCTCTTTGTAGAGAAGAATGTAAATCTGCATTAAGAATAATCATGTAAATCTCAACACTATGGAAATAATGCAATCGGAAAATGCATCATCCAGGTGGCATAAAACACAGCTGAGTACCTTCATAACTACTTGATCATTGTAAGGACTGTACTGATAAACTATTAAGTAATAAAATAATTCAATTGATCGACTTCTCTCCGCTATGATATTAAAAACATTCACGGGAGACTATAGTTCTAAGTAGTAAATACCATCGACCAGTCTCATTCATATATCAACAGAAAATAAAACAAATTTCGGACCCACTTGTACTACCAAGAGAGGGGAGATCAATAGCAATTTTAATGAGTCATCCTAAGAAATGTCCAAGTGTGTATTATGCTATGCAATTCAAAGGTTCCAACAAACCATCGTCCCTCACTACCTAATTAACTAAAATCATAGGATTTTGGCATGCATATGGTACAAGGCAGAAGCATGGACAATGTAAAACAGCAAATTTTTTGACAGGTTTCAATACATTGCTTGAATGGATTTGACTCCTATTTTAAAGTGTCCATGCAACATGCTTTACGCACTTTGCAATGACTCAAAATTTAGAAAAATAAAAAATGTTGAAACAATTCCAGTACAGAAAACTGGGAGAAGAAAAATAGACCAATGTGCTCTAGCTACAGTGAAATTTAGGCCAATGTCCAAGGGTGTAACACAAAATATTCACTTTGATCAATGATGATTACAAGGGGCAGTCACTAAACACTCAATGTTCAAACCCTCATGCCACAGACACAAACACAAACATATCTACGGGTCCATATCCATTTGCTTCAACCAAACCAAGGGTTCAAGTCAGGTCACATGTTGGGCAAGACCTTAAATTAAATACAAAACACTTCTGCAAATAAAAATAAATTCAGGAAGTAGTCATCCAGTGAAAGACATAAAATTATTACAGTAGAAAACAAATGCAGATAAGATGACTGAAAGCCATAGTCATGCTTAAATCCTTGGAATGGGTGTAATTATCTCTTGCAATTTAAACAACTCAAAAAAATAGTAATCAGGAAAAAAAATCTCTTAAAGGCAAGGCATTGTGTAAGACTTCATATTCAAGGGTACCTGAACCCCTTGCTTAGCTTTTGCTTCCAACAAATTATCAAGCCTTGATGAAGCATTAGTGTGAAAAGGTCTCCGCATATACAGTTCTGGGCACAGCCACCAACCACATATAAATATCTGCATGAATATCTCAATCATTGAACAGAAACTTGAAAACAACCATTATACATACACACACACCTATAACACCATTATAGGTGTTTGTATGTGATGAAAGTGGGCTTGAATTTTATTGCACTAGAAAAACAAACCTCTGATTTTGCATCCTCAATTGAAGAAGCAATGGCCTCAAATGCCGCTCGCCCATCAACAAACCACTGGGCTTGACTTCCATCTTCGACTAAGCCTCTTGGAGGAGCAAATGAACCATAACGATGAGGATGACACCAGCCTTCAGGAGGCCTGAGTCCAGCATCATTAATTGCAGCAACCCAATCTTTAACTTTACTACTACTTTTCACTCTAATTCTGATACTCCGGATTCCACAACTCACCTATAATATTTGGTTAAGTGCTAAAGTTTAGAAAAAGCATCTTTCTCTTATAGTATTACCATACATCGGATAACAACCACAAGTTAGCTACTAACTAATAATTACATAAGAATAAGCCTCAATCCAGTCGCTGAAAGGATATTGGAACATCAATTTGGTCTTCAAAAGAGTATTGGCATCAATTTAATAAACCACAATTCAGTCATTGAAGGTTTTTTTACTGGGATCAAATTGATATCAATTGTTAACCAAATACAATCATTTGTGGATCAATTTGATGTCACTGATCTTTCAAAGACCAAATAGATGTTCTAAAAACCTTTGAAGGACCAAATTGGGGATATACTCAAGATATAGTGTAATATAAACAGGAAGACCATATGAATTGGCATTATTTTAAAGCACGAGACTATGAAGCAACAATAGAGATAAAAAGGCACCCCTCTCACCTTGAATGAATGGCGTAAAGGATTTCGTTCCTTCACTTCACTCGCCAGTGATAACCGACCATCCCCATTCCCATCTGAGGCAGGCAATACATCAAAAACAATGATGTCCAGAGGCTGTGTATCAAAAGGATCTGCCAGCAATGCCAGGAATCCAGGTTTCAGTACAGCCCATACCTGTACATAAAAAGACAGGAAAGTGATACTGTGAAGTTAAGCCAAATACAAAGAAAGTCACCAGAAAATATTACAGTAGTAGAGTTTTGCTCTTTAAACTGTGTATAATCACTGTATATTCAGTTATCTGTTTGTACTTGTCATTGTCGTGCAATGTTGCCAAATATCCATTATAACGGAAAAACGTCGCGGTTCAGGTCCAAACCGCCATTCGCCATCCGTTTTATGAAGGTTTATGGCGGTGTCCGCCATTTCCGTTATGGCGCCCGACATGGCCATGGCGCCATGAAGCTTTACGGTGGTCATGACGGTTTTTTTTTTAAAAAAAACCTATTTTTGGGCTTCAACCCAGGCCCAAATGGAGTAAGCCCTATGTTTTTTGGCTCGTCTCACTTCTCCCTCATAGTCACAAAGTTCTGCATTTGAAGAGGTCATGCGGAACCTGCCCTAGGTTTGTAAACCTCTTGGTCACCTTCGTTCAACTCCAACCACTGCTCTCCAGTTACCTTTGCGATCGACGACCTGAACCGCGGTGGCCCAACACTCGGCAAGCAACTCCGGCAAACATCTCCAAGAAACATAGCAAGATTTTTTTTTAACCTACTTCTTCCTTCATCTATCCTTCATTTGCATCTGTTGATGCATATTTTTTCATTCTCTTTTTTTTTTTCTACTTCTTCCTTCAGCCATTCTTCATCTGTGAGTGCATTCATGAATTTATTTTTAGTTCTAACATTCTATTCCTATTTTGGTATTGTTCCTATTCTTATTTTTAGGACAATGTCTAGCAACTCAAAAACCAAAGTCAAACATCCTCAAACTCTATTAAGAGGATAGACATAGGATGGAAACATTGTCATTTTTAGCATTATTGTTGTGTTTTAATCATGTTTGAAACTTAATGAATTATGGTATTGTTGTTATGATATTTAACTATGTATGTTGATATTATGTTGTTTTTTATTTATTTATATTGCTTGTTATGTATTTTTTTGCTATTTTGTTCGTGTATATATGTATATATATATATATATAGATGAGGGTTATAATAATACCGGTGTAACTTTTACTAAATATTACACCGCTCAATAACTTTATATTAATTGTGAATTTTGAAAATTCCACCGTTAAATTGAAAGTTCATATCACTTTATATGTGTATATCAAATTTTGTTAAAATTGAACAACAACTTGAAGGTAATCAAAATATTCATATTTTAGTATATTTTAAAATGAATATATTACGCCAATTTTGTTTTATAAGAATGAAGTATCAAATCATCTTGGGTTAATATAAAATTTTGTATATATGAACTAAGAGTAAAGAATTTTCAATTTAATGGTTGGATTTACAAAATTCACATTTAATATAAAGTTACTGAACGGTGTAATACTTAGTAAAAGTTACACCGGTCAATGGGATCCTTTTTGATGCCACTCTTCAAAGGTCAACGGTGGGTGCTCTCCAGTATGCATCCTTTACTTGGCCTGAAATTAGATTCTCAATCAACGTTTGTCAAATATATGTATGAACCTTTGGAGATTCACTGGACCATAGTTAAAAGGATTCTTAGGTACCTTAAGGGTACAATTTCCTATGGACTTCATTTTGCTCCTCTTTCCCTTCAGGCCTATTGATTTGTGATGATGATTGAGCCTCTAACCCTGATCATAGGAGATTTGCCTCTATTGATGTTGTCTTTCCTAGGCCTAATCTAGTTTCTTGATGGTCCAAGAAAAAGACTGTCGTAACTCATTCAATTACCAAAACTGAATATCTTAGTTTGGCTCTTGCAACAACTGAAACCTCTTGGATTCAGTCTCTTGTGTCTGAGATGTAAGTTCTTCACACTAATCGGATTTACTATGACGACATGAGCACTATGGCTCTTGCTCATGATTCATTCTTCATGCTCGCAGCAAACACATGGAACTAAATCTCTATTTTGTCTACAAGAGAGGGATTAACAAGCAAATCACGCTATGCATGTATCTGCCTCTAGTAAGTATGCAGATATCTGAACCAAGGCTCTTTCTCAACTTGGTTTCTTGCTCTCAGATCCAAGCTCAGAGTAGTTGACTATTTGGACTCCTCCCATACTGAGCTTGCAGGTGGTATTAGAGTAGAGTTTACTTTGTAATGTGTGTATAATCACTGTATTTTTAGTTATTTTTTTGGGCTTGTCATTGTTGTGACAGATGTACTATGTAACTAACTCTTTTGGTATTTTCTTGTACAGCTATATATAGCTGATCTCTTACCTTTTACAAGTGACTAATTCATTTTCTCATAATATATAGTTTCTTTTCTTGCATGTTCTCTCTGCAACCTAATAAAAAAAGAAATAAATAGCACCAAGATAAAAGAAGCATATTGACCAATTTGTAAAGCAGGATTCTTTACCTTTTGCCAGTTGTCGTTACAGCAACTAAAACAGTCAGACAAACAACACTTTCTGGAATCATCATCATTCTGAATTTTGGGCAGATGCTTCACCATCACATATTCTTCCTTCAGCTTAGGGCCATATTCAGGTGAAAAAGATAACTTTGATACCTCCAAAAACTTACAAACCTAGCACATAAAATTGCGTATCATAAAAAGTGTTTAGTAATCATAAAAAACCAAGCAGCTTCAACAAGAAATCAAATGGAGAAGATCAAACATCCAACAAATTAGCCAATACAGAAAACATAAATAGGCATGGATTTCAACTAAAAATAAAACATGTTTTACATGTTCCAAGGTCCATATCATATATGTACTAAATATGGTAGCCAAAATAAGTGGCAACAATTTGTTTAAATTCAAGCCTAACAGAACCAATGGGCAGCCATGTGCATTCAACTCCCACCATTGTAGGGTCTATGATGGAGGAGGCCCATGGGCCAAGGGCCCAACTACTAGGGCTATGGCAAAGAGGATCCAAGAGGAGTGGGCCCAAGCTCAAGGAAAGCCCATCAGACTTTTTAGTTGGGCTTTGATTCAAGCCCAAGTAGAGTAGGAGTAGTGTAGGTTTGGGCCTTAGGGCTTGTATTTCATTTTAGGCCTTGTATTTTGGCCACTTAGACTAGGAATTTCATTTCATGGTCATTTGAATTTAGGGTTAATTTAGGGTTACAAGTGTATTGTCATTTGAATGTAATTAGCATGGCATTTGGTATGCATTTCGGCCATGTGCACACATGCACATGATGTGACCGAAATGCAACTCAAATGGATGCCAAATTACATCACAAATGAGTGCACATGGGGGGTGACCGGGATTGGCTCCAAAATTTGAATTTTGAATTCAAATTTTGGGCGCCTAAGGTTAAGTAAACCATACCATGGTTTCACTTAACCTTAGGCTAACCCATGGTTTACCTTAACCTAATTTTCCCTATAAATTCTAGTTGGCCGAGAATTGTAGACACTTTTGGAAATTATTGAATGAGTTTTCTTCATTTGAAACCTCTCCCTCCGAAAGTCTCTCTCAACCTACCTCTACCCTCCTTGAGCTCCTCTCTTTGTAGAGCTAGGTTGCCATACTTCTATCCGGACTTAGCTTAGTCAAGCTTGGTCACACTTGTTCTTCTTGGAGTTTCATTCCTTGCATTGCTTCCAAGGAACTGAGAAGGATTAGAAAGCATTCTTTGAGGATTCTTCAAGTGGAACCTCATCAGTCTAGGAAGGATTTGATACATGCAGCCTTAACCCTAAGAGTGGAGAGGCTATTTCCAGACTAGAACAAGAAGAACCATGTCAACCTTACTTGAAACAGATTCTTGATGTTGCCCTCCTTGCCAAATCCAGTAATTAGATGCATGGATTTCACATGCAACGCAAGTGTGCAGAGTCTTCGTAAACTTATGTGATTGATAGTTATCAATAAAACTAATATCCCAAAGTTTTGGGGCAATAGTAAAGTTACTTGCTTGTGATCTGGTACTAATGGATTTGACTCATGGAAGCCCCTCTGCTCATGGGGGGTATGGATGTGTACATCTGACCCTCACCACCCACAATAGTGGGATCATCATGCATCTGGCTGCTTTTTAATGAAACTAATATCCAAAATCAAGTTATTCCGTTGCCAGAGTTAACACATCTAGTTCTACTCTTACTTAACAAATAGCCCTACCCATAACATCAAACTACAACATTTTATGTATATATCTGAAATGTCTGACACATTAACTGACAATGAATCAATGATTCTTTTCTATAGCATGATCAGCGTATATTTTAAAATGCTCATGCACAAAGCATACCTCACGAGAGTTCACAATACTGATATTTCCCAAAAAGTGATTAAGATATCCTTGCATTGCATGCTTTGCTCTGTCTGCAATAGAATGCTGTCTTCCTAAGGCTGGCCGTATAATTGGTAGAGCAGCACTAGATGGAACATCTCTGCACAAAAAACAACAAAGGATATTATGACCAGAGTAACGGTTGCAATTATAGACTGCTTCACAGAAGTTGCAGATTGGGGATCACCTGTCCTTAGCACTTTCATGAGTTTCATCAGTCTGTAACTGGACAGTATCATCATCAGCTTCATCGTCATCTTGCACCATAGCAGTGTGTTCTCCAATTCCTAGATTTTGAAGCCATTCTTTAACCTTTAATATAATGTTTCAGTGAACATTACATCAAAATCCAAACTTAGCTAGACAGAAATGATATCACCAAATAATACAATAAATGCACAAAAGCCACTCATATATACTATATAAGCAATCAACCAAAAATCAATATTAACAACATTGCTCACCTGCTCTTGCTTCTCGTGGATTTCTTCAATAATGGCACGCTTCTTTAATGCGAAATGCAAAATAAATACTTGATGAGCTTTCTTCATTAGCTCCCACTTGAACTGGAATGCAAATGAGATATATAAGTATCCTCCTGTAGGAAGGAAGACTGAAAGAAATAAATACTCAACAACCAACGCTTTTCTTTCATCCAACCATTTACAGCCACAGTGAGACATACAAGGCCAACACAGGTATAAAAATATTGTTCACCTCCATTTATTTTTTGTCTTCTATAAAAGAATTCCTACACACACTTCAACTCTAAACAACTACAAAGCTGGTGAATGCCAAAAGTAAGCAAAAGCAGAAACTGTTGCTCGGAGAAAGTAAAACTAAAAGGAAAAGTCAAAAGCTAACTAAGTTGCATTCCTTTGGAGAATAGCAACAAACTGCAGAACCATTGCATCATGCATTTCTGGTTCGAATTAAACCCTACGATAAATTTGCCAAATACACACATACGTAAGTACATATGTATATATATACGAGCACATAGCGATACGACGTGAAAAGAACCAATCGGATTCAAACATAATATCCAATTCCTTTGGATTTCCGTCACACGATTGGCTTCAGTGTTTGCGATCAGAGATTTTTCTGTTTTCCGTTAAAAGTTCCGCGAAATCACGAAGAGAAAGAGAAAGAGATAGCACGTTACCTGTTTGTACTGAACTTGAATTGTGTAAGAGAGTTGCATGGGACTGATGTCGCTGGCGTCGGGGCGAGAGACGGAGACGATGGTGGATTGCGGCAGTTCTTCGAAAATCCGATGGGCCTCGGCGCAGCTGTGGCGGAACGACGGGGCCGAGGACATGTCCTCGACAGCCGCGGCCGGCGGCGACGGCGGCGGAGACGATTTCATTTGAACGTAGCGGGGGCCGCCGGGAGCCATTAACTTCTCCGTCGCCATTGGAATCGAAGCGTCGGCGATTGGGAACTGTGCGGGAATCGAATGCGGCGAGGAAGTGGTGCTGCAACGACGTCGTTGGTCTTTTCGGATCCAAAATCCAAATTCAGAAGAGAGAGAACGCTTGTTTAAGTTTTCGTGAGAAGAGGAAAATGCGGAATATGAGTTCAACTCTGAACAACGCCAAACGAGTGCGCAAGTTTGATTTCTTCACTAGCCAAGCCTTCTAGTCCTTGCTATTTTCCCTTTTTTAAAAAATTAAAAATCAAATTAAACATTAAAATATATTACCTATAATCTATAACAATATATAATGAAAAAAAAATTCATTTTTATACATGTCTTTACTTTTCAACTACACACGATATCTAATCTCACTTTCCAAGGGGTATAGCTCATTTGATCATTTGGTTGTGTTTGTGAGTTGTAATTTTCTAGTATTAAATTCTATTTTTATGAATAAAAAAAAGAATCTCACTTTCCCATAACTAATCTATTATTTATCTTTTTTCATTTAACTTTCTTCCTCTTTTTTGTTTTACTTTGTTTTTAAATAAATTGTAGATACATTATGTATCTCTTTTCTCTGATCATAAATAAATATGGTGTATTATTACATAATTGAAATTTATTAAGTTAAAATTTATATATAAAGAGATTTATAATTGAAAAATTTTATTATCTCAATAACTTGCATAATAAAAAAATCATTATTGGAAAAACAGTTTAAATTATTGAAGTAAAACTTTGTTTCTAATTGAATAATTGTCCCAAAAACATTTAAAAAAATTGTATCCAAATTTTAGGTTAAAAATTTATTACTATAATTAAAAGTTAAAAAATTATTATATTTATAATGTTTCATAGTAAAATGATATCGCAAATATTTTTTATATTAAAAGTGTTTATAGTGTGTTTGGATGGAGAATTTAAATGGAGTAATTTATTTATTTGAATAATTTCAAATTCTTTGATGTAAAATATCTTGTTTAGATGGAAAATTTATAAGGAATTTGAAATTCGAGCATTTGTTTTTTTTTTATAAGCAAAAGAGATTTATTAAAAAGGAGTACAATGGGTACTCTAACCCATATACAAATACAATAGGCCAAAGAATACTTGTAGCAACTAAAAAACACGGTGCTTATTTTACAGTCAAGTAACAGAAGATATGACATCTAATAAGCAATTACTAAGTGATTTAGCACAGATTTCACACAAGGACAGTGTTTGAAATACCCTTGATGATGATAGTATGTGATCTTCCACAAGTATAATATTGCTCGTAGCTTAGCTTAGGCACAATCAGCTAAAGAATCTTACCCTACGTACTCAGATGCTCAGAAACTGAGTATATGTCCAAAAAATTTAGACAGACAGCAGGGGAACAAACCCAAGATGAATAGGGGTACTGGAAAGAAAGGTCATTAACCTTAAGTCACTTCCAAGAACGCATTTGAATCAACTCCAATAAGTTAGAATGTAATATGACCTTATCAGAGAAGATAGTCTCATTCCTAGCAATCCAAAGAGACCATAAAACAGTCATCTACACAGTTGACCATCTTAACCGATCCACACTAGAGCAAATAGGTAAACCCACAAACTGTGCTAAGTGAAGGTGGCAAGAATTATGGAGCACATACTTTATACCAAACCAATTTAAACACAACATCCATATGCAATAAGCAAAAAGGGCATTCAAAAAATAAATGGGACACTGTCTCCAGATCATGGCCACACCAAATACAGAATCCATCTCCAGCTTGTAGAATCCCTCTTTTAATTAAGTTTTGTTTTGTTGGTAATTTATTAAGCATAGATCGTCAAGCAAAGCCAGACACTTTTGAAGGAAGAAACTTGGACCATAGGTAATTATATAGAGGAAATTCACCAAATATATCCTTATTCACGATGACATTGTAAGCTGACCTCACAGAATATTCACCACCTTTCAAAGCTGACCAGACCCAATGATCATTGACTCCTAGTTGCAGGTGCAAGAAATCAATGTCAGCTTTCAATTGTTGTAATAGTTCACCTTCCCATTGAAACAGGTTTCGCCTCCAGGACCAATTCCATACTTCGTCCCCATCTACTATTACCCTCAAATTAGTAATGGTGGCATTTTTATTAGACACAATAGAGAATAGCCTTTCATATTTTACACAAAAAGTTGTTGGGCCACACCAAGCCTCCTGCCAAAAACATGTATCTGTCCCATCCCTTACAACCTTATTACACCTACTAGAAAACCAACCATCTGTACTTAACTCTCCCTTGTTAATTCTCCATAAATCAACCCACCAATTAGAACCCTTACCCACCTCATCTCTCTCTCTCACATGTATTTTCCCATATAAAGAAGCTAACACCCTATTCCACAATCTCCCCTTATCTATTAAAAGCCTCCACATCCATTTCCCTACCAATGCAAGATTAAAACCCCTTAAATCTTTGATGCCCAATTCCCCATGCCTTATGTCCCTCACACATCATCCCAAGCAACCCAAGCAATCTTACTATGATCCTCATCTCCACCCCAAAGAAATCTCCTAAATAAAGATTCTAGTATAGTAATAATACTTGTCGAAGCCTTGAAGAAGGAGAGATAATAGATCGGGATGGAATGCAGAATGGATTTCAAGAGAACACTTCTGCCACCAAATGATAAATTTTTGCCTTTCCACTTAGACAATCTCTTTTGTACCTTACTAATTACTGGATCCCACGTTTTTAACAATCTTGGATTTGCACCAATTGGTAGACCCAAGTATGAAAAAGGTAGAGAACCCACTGTACAATTTAAGAAAAGAACCATTCCATCTAACAACTCTCTATCCACATTGATTCCATATAGTTTACTCTTATGGAAATTGACTTTAAGCCCTGCAACCACCTCAAACAACTGAAAAATAGTCTTAATAGCCAAATATTTTGCAATGAGGCCTCTCCAATGACTAGAGTGTCATCAGCATACTACAACTGAGAAACGAGCACTGCCTCTTGACCAACCTTATAGCCAACAAACACTTGGGACTCAACTGCCTTAGCCATCAAAGCATGGAATCCCTCAGCAACAATAAGGAACAAAAAAGGTGCAAGAGGATCTCCTTGTCTCAAGCATTTGTGAATTTCTTTGAAATAGTAGAATTTCAAATTCTCCTAAAAAGGTAAGAATTTGAAATTCCTCATATTTTTTTTTATTTCACTTATATATTTTATCTTATCTCTTATCTCTTCATGTTTTGAATTATTGAATATTCAAAAATATTTTTAAAATTATTAAATATTATCTAATATTAATTTTTTAAATTATTAAATATTTAAAATTTAGCTAATATTTATTTTTATAAAATTTAATTTAAAAATATCAATATATAAATATATTTTTAAAATCAATTTTATCATGGTAGAATCAAATTATCATATCCAACCCAACAATTTAAAATTTGATAAATTTGAATCGACTTATCCAAACAAAATATTTTAAGAATGATAGAAATTGAAATTAAAGTAATTTAAATACCAAGAATTTAAAATTCGTTGAATTTATAAAAATTTTCATTCAAATACACCATTGTGATTATGATTTAGATAGACTAGTAATTTTATGATGTTTGGATGCAATCTAGAAGTAGAAGTTGTGTTTGAAAAAAGGTGTAGAATATATAGTTTTATAAGAGTAGTGCTAATAGTATGTTTTAACCGTAGTTATTTGATATTTGAATGGTAGGTGGTTGATCGGTCAGAAGTGAGAAGACGGCTAAAATGGAGTTGTTGCAAATTGGACCTCTTGCTTCTGTGATGGCGCATTAATTTCATTCGGTATTTTTATTTCCTTTGCTTGCTTTGTTGTGTTCTCGTTGAATTTATTCGTGAATGAATATGAATGGTGGAACATTTGACCAAAACACCAGTACTTCCATCATGTGTACAATTATCAAACACTTGGCACAAGTTAAGTTGTAAGAACTAGGGACCGAAGGAAATAAATTAAATCACTGCATTTTTTGTCCAGCTTTTTATAAATTTAATTTCTGTTTGAAAACAGAATTTAACCAAATATAAAAAATTAAAATAAAAAAAAAACCAGCATGTCCTAACTCCTTTTCCTCAAGCAGATCCTCGTGTAAATGCGGCCACAAACTCAACTACAAAGTTTTTAAATTGTTTATAAGGTGAGAATTTTTTTTTATTTTGTACAAATATCCTAAAATTTTATTTTAGACTAATCTAATTCGATTGAGAAATAAATAAAATTTAATTAAAAATTATTTTTATCAAGAATTAAATTTGAACTTGTATGAAGAATTCAATCTTTAATTATGAACTTTTCAAATATAAGAATTTAATAATAAAAAAACAATTCATTAACCAACAAATTATTTTTAAAAATATTAAGCATTGCGAATTTGTATAAGAAGAAATTGTAATCAATCATCATAAAGCATTCCTATATATGTATTTTTTTTCTTAAGTTTAATTACTCATTCATCTTATATATAGCTAGAGCTACACAAATTTTATATTTTTTTTATTCATACACAAATTTTATATTTTATTCCCTACACTTAAAAATC